GAATTCTGGAAACGAGGGGGGAGGGGAGAGGAAAGAAAGTGGGGAAGAGGAGAAAAGACGAGAGGCAGCTGAAGGGGAAGTGTGAAGAGGGGATGGTGGAAAGACAAGAATGAGGAGAAGGAGAGGGAAATGAAAAGAAAGAGGCCATTAATTTAGTGCTGTGGGAGGGATCTGAAGGTTACTGAGCTCTCTCTGCCAGGCCCTCCTGGGTTGACTGATGCCTTTGTGAGGAGGCCAGGAACCACACATCCATGCACACATACACACATGCGCGTTCCAAGAAACTCTGGGTTTGTTGCGGCAGGCCAGTTTCAGCAAAATAGACGCATACACACACACAGATGGTCATTAATGGGCTTCAAAGTGAGAGCAAAATGGGAAACCTTTATTTATTTCCTCTCCTGGACGTGATTTGCTGTGATGTGTCTGAAAATGTGGTGACTCTGTGTTTTTCTCTGCTGTGGTGAGTAATCAGAGCACAGTGTACCGAACGTATGGACCCTGTGTGTGTGTGTTTGACTATGTATTTTTGGGACACCGTGTTTGTCTGCGCACATATGCACACTGTCAGCAAAACAGCTCATATTAAAGGGCCAGTGAGCAACGTGTTGGACTAAAAGGGATTCACTAAACAATATGTTTATGTATTTTAATGTAATGTGATTTCATTTGTCATTAATCAGAATTAGTCGATCTGCAGTAGAGAGAGACTGAGGATGTTTCATAGATTCATGATGTTTCTCTGCTGCCTGCTCAGGGCAGTAAAGCCCCCTATATATTTTGTGAATGGCTGTAACAGGACAGACTGAGCTCTAATCGCTGCTCTTTTTCTTGTGATTCACTAGATTTACTTCTAAAGGCCTCTAAGGAGAAAAATAAGTCTGTGGCTAACTGTGTCCACCGCATTAACATATGTAATTTCTGACACCAGGATCCACATATAGACACTGATTTGTTCCAGCAGGTCTCAATTACAAAATGTCGGAAATGCTCACTGATCTTACCACTTGACTCAGTGTGTGAATCCAGTGGGGAGTCTAAATTGTAATACTTGTACTCATTCAATAATACTGTAGTTCCTTTTCCACCAAAATAAGATCATGTACGCAGGTTTTTTAAACACTGATAGATTCCTTTCCCATTGCAACTAGACTAGAGCAGTATAGATCTCTGCTGCAGACAAGCATACCTTTCTGTATTTTTTACAGGTTTGTCATGTTTGACATCACAGACTGCCTGGCAATTAGGTTAGTGAACAATAGAAAGCAGCATGGAGGTTAGTAAAAAAGTTACGCTGATGACTTTGTTATATTTCTCTCTGACTTAGGAAGTCTTTCTTTCAATTTTGATACAGACGAATTTGGATAGATGTTTGAGCACTGCTTGGATTGAGACGGATGGTATATTGTGGTGGCACCTCATTGCATCTCGCTGGTAAAGGGGCTAGAATTAGTGCGTTCACCCAGGTATCGGTATCAGTGCCAACTGGAGCTGGAGCCGATAAATACCTGTGACTGCTGCAGTGTCATTTAACCCAGCTGTAATCTTTCCCATTACATACAAACGCCAAATGTTAGTGGGTGTTAGTGGGGTTTTTTGGGCCTTGGTGAAGGGACTCAATCATTTGGTAATTCATATAGAAATAGAATGCACACCATGCCGTCCAGCGCTGGGTGTAACCTGTGTAGTAGCAGCAACAAAGTTTGCTTTCACTCACCTCTGCAGCAGCTGCTCCTCTGAACTAATCCATCAGTCTGACCTGATCAGCTCTGATCAATCTGACCGCAAACTGACCATCTGATCAGTTCACAACGCAGTGACTCAAACTCTGCAAACTGCTGCTAAGGGTGTGGCAAAGAGTTCTGCCTGTGCTGCGTTCATGGGCCTGTAAAGACCTCAGAATTCATAGAGGGGACACAGATCACAAAGGGACACACCAACACTCAAAGACTGAAAGTTTGCTTATCTGTAGCACCCTCCCGCCACACATAGATTGTAATTAATGTGGGAAACACTGACATCTGTGCTCTGAGTGACAGCTGACTGATTTTCTTTCAGGTAGGTAAATTGACTAATTTTTAAACTCCCAAACCTCATTAGTCACTTAATGAATCATCCAACTGATTGGTGTCAGTGCGGTCCAACAACACTTTTATATCATTTGTTTTTTGAGGTTGAGAAAGAACCACAGGGGAAAAAATCCACTAAATAAATCACTCGTCCTACTTATCACAAAGGATCTCAGCTGGAAGCATCACTGCATTGTTCACACATGCAGATTTACACCGATTTATAAACCCTCCTCACCCTGAGATGTAAAAACTACCTGAGGCTGTACAGCTGTATACTAATGGCCATTATACTGTCTCTCGCTGTGACACATACAACACACATGTTTATGTTCTGATTTGTTTAATGAAAGCCATTCATATAAAGATCAGGTATGTTTATTGCTCTCAGGAGGTTTGTGAAGTCTCATCTGCACATGGTGACATAGTGTGTGGCTGTATGGAGTGTGTTAGGCTGTGGTTTACAGTACACAGCGCACTGAGGGGTGACAAAGACGCTGCATGGCAGAAGAAAAATGCAGCTAAATGCTAATGCTAAAAGAAAACAGAACATGAATGTAGCTGAGTAGCAGCCTGATAGTCAGACTGAACTGCTGTTTTGTTACCACTGCAATTTCTTAGTATTACGTTAGATTATTAGGCATCATACATTTGGCAGAGGGGATAGAAGTGTCACTGTTCTGCAGTAGAAACTTGAACTGGGGTCAGATTTATGTAACTTTGTTCCCTAAAGAGTGGACTGGACTTCAGAATTCTAAGTGAATCCAAGCCAAGTTTCAAGTTTTGTTCCAGTCAAATCACAGAAATATAATAAAAAAATGACAGCATCAGGCAGCATTGCATACCCAGCTTGAATATTGAAGGCCTGCGCACTGGAAGGTCTCAGCTGTGTAAAAACACTATCACACAGATTTGAAAAGAAATGTTCAGCATTGGTTGATGGAGAAAGACTTCCAGTGGACTTGCAGTTGCTCTCAGTGACTTGAGACTTAATTTGGGACCTGTTATATCAATTTTCAGGTTCTTACTTGCATTAAAGGTTTCAACTAGAACACGTTTGCATGCCTTAATGGTAAAAAAAACACCTGTATTGACCTGTATTGTATTGTATTGTGCTTCTCTCTTTAAACTCAAATTCTGATAAGAAGCCAAGTCTGCTCTGAGTGGTTCGTGTTTCTGGGTGTTCCGTATTTGCGCTCTTGGCGTCTCTGCACCATCATTGCAGCTGGGGGAATGACTGTAACGGAGAATATTGGCACTTTCCATCATGACCATCATGAAAAATTACTCTTAAGAGCTTCTAAACCAGTCTTCACACCCTCATGTGATCCAAAATTTACAACATCTGCAACCAAGATTACATGTTTCACTGGCGTTAGCATGTAGCTACATGTAGCCGTGTGGGCTACGTAAAAACACTATCACACAGATTTGAAAAGAAACGTTCGGCATTGATAAATGGGAAAAACTTCCAGTGCACTTGCAGTTGCTATCAAGGACTCGAGACTTAATTTGGGACCTGTTATGTTAATTTTCAGGTTCATACTTGTATTAAACATTTCAAGTAGAACATGTTTGCGTGCTTTAATTACTGTCTGTGCTAGAACACCTGTATTTACTCTCTGAAATGAGCTGTTTTAGGTCTAGTCTTTTTAAACTTAACTCCTAATAAAATCCCAGTCTGCTCTGAATGGTCCGTGTTTCTGGGTGTTCCATATCTGCGCTCTCGGCGTCTCTGCACCATCATCGCAGCCAGGGGAATGACTGTAATGGAGAATGGCGGCACTTTCTATCATAAGAAATTCACTGGTAAAGCAAAGTTTTCACATCTGGACATGATCCAAAATAATGGAGAAATTTACAACAGTAGCAGCGAAGATTACATGTTTCACTGATGTTAGCATGTAGCTACATGTAGCGGTGTATGCTATATAATGAAACACTAGCAGTATCGTGCCTGGAGCATATGACAGTGTAAAGAAATCCATCACTAGTCGACATCAGCTTGTATGCAAAGTAGAAAAATGAAAGAGTTTTCAGAGCGGTCTGAAGCTTAAGATCTTTGCTCAGGGGGATCACTTTTACATATGTCTACCTTATTGTTTGAAGCTTTGGCCACGTTTAATATGAACATCCTTCAGTGTAACATCATGACAGAAAACAAGGAAAAGCATAAAAGATCCCCTTTAACAAGATGTGACACCTGACTTGTCTCCACATACATTAGACTTGCCAAAGATAACACAGAGGGTCATGGTTGAGTTGATTTCATCTTTGCTTGTCATATTTTTCAGCAGAAGTTCCCAACTTTAGTCCCGTGTAGAAAGGCCCTAATAGTCTCCCGTTGTTTCTCCAGTGTTTTACATGAGCAACACTGCCTCTGAGTCCCCTGACAAACGTCGTGATGTGAACAGTGATTCAGATTCATTCTGCATAGAATCCCAGGCAGGTGGAGTTTACTGCTGCGGCATACATCAAATAGAGAATCACATTAAAGTGCGCTAAACAGATTTTTGCACACATGGCTTTGGCTTTATAAAACTTTGGTCACACATTCAGGGAGGTTGAGTAGGGAGCAGTTAAGGAGGGCGAATATATATAATCATAAGAAAACAAAGTGGGGAATCACATGGGTAAAATGTGGTTGTGTGTGTGTGTGTGTGTGTGTTACAGTAAATGTCGGCCTCCTCTGTTGTGTTGTTAAAGTCAGGTTGCATTCAGCAGCAGGTTGTGATTTTTGCTACGTGTTCACCTGCACGTTTCATACCTTCACCTTCAGTCAGTGTGACGAGTGAATGATGGAAAGATGAGCTAGTTTTGTATAACTCACAGGATCACTATTTGTTTCTATGAATTTCAGTAACAAAACAAAGGCAGTTAACCGTAACATGTCTGATTAGCTCTAACCCTCTTCTTCCTGTGTGTGTGCAGGAGTTCAGGGCAGCGCTGAGTGCTCGTGCGGGAGGAACCACTTCACATGTGCGGTCAGTGCATTCGGGGAGTGTACCTGCATCCCGGCCCAGTGGCAGTGTGACGGAGACAACGACTGTGGGGACCACAGCGACGAGGACGGATGCAGTGAGTTTGCTCTTTCTTTCCCTCTATCTTCGTTTCCTTCTCACTGTGACTTAACTCGGAGATTCATTGACTCTGATCGGTCCAATTTGAAACTTGAACAAACTAAATCTGACGCCTGTTTACTGGCTTTGATGTGATTGCTTGATCCATGTGTCTGCTCTGAGTGTATTTGGTCTGTGTGATCAAGTTTAAATCGATGATTGCCCAGTTAGTGACCAATGAAGTTGGACAGAGAGTCCTGCGTGTATAAAAGATTTCAATACAAACTTTTGTCTCTGATTTCAAAACATTTGTCGTGATTGATTAGAGAACCTGATCTGTGAGCCACCGGCTTTTTTTTAAAGGTTACTCAAGTTTTTTTTTGTTTTTTTTTACTGAAGCTTTTTATAACCTTCCTTGATTGATATAAACATGTTTTTTATTAAATGGAAGTAACCAAACATCTCAAATGTTAAATCATATAAACACAAGCATCTGTATCAGATTTTTGTCTAAATAAAATAGTCTGATTTTTTTTTTGAAGGGTCAGATCAGTCATTAAGTAAAAAAGATCACAAATCTGACCAGACATTTGATATTAACTTTCAGTATTTGACAGTTTTTGATGCCCGGTGCCATTTGACCAAAATAGTTCTAAAGATGCATACCCAGCCTCAACTGTTTGTTACTGCTGTATTTAGGGCTGACACCTTCTGGTCGGAAGGTTAATTGGTTGGTCAACATGCTCTTTTCTGACCAAATTCTCATTGGTTGGCCAATTGTATTTTTTTTCCCCGGCTGAAAACGACAGGTGCTCTCTTGAAAATGCCCAGCTGGGAGCAGTACAGTGCTTTGGAGGCACGGCGTTTTTTCAGCTGGGATGCTATGGTTGGTTACTGTGATACAGAATATACACGGAAGTTTGAATGTTAGCATTAGGTAAAGTGCTGATGAATAGAAGGCTGATGGGAGGATGGCCCCCCGCCGGTCTATAGCTATCAGTACGTTGTTGTTTAGCACTTGTACTAAGGGTGTGCCATATCATCTTGTTCACGATAATACCCTTGTAATTTTTAATATCATATGGAAAATTCATCTTGTGATACTCACTATATTTCGACTTGTTGACATATTGATGTCATACTGTTACCCACGGCAACAACAAGCATGGCTGAAAGCGAAATTATTACCGACTCCACGGTGGTTTCAAAAAGAGGAGCAGCTTCAGTAGTGTGGAATAAACTGTGGCGTCCTGAATGTTTTATGAACAGCCCTGGACTTCTCAGACTCTTAGCGACTTACCGCTCAGAGGGAACTCATTCAGCGGCTCCTCTGGCAGCAGCACAGCGTCTCTCCCTCTCCTCTCTTGCTGTGCACACACGGGAGTTGGTGTCTTCAAGTGATTGTGTCATAAACCTTTGGTAATGTAAACCTACGTGACGTTCACAGCTCGACAATAAACTCCTGTGTGATAGTTGTGGTATCGTAACAGCCGGTCACAGGTTACAGCGTGATGATTAGAGGAGAAATGGCAGAGCATAAAGGTCCAGGTGGAAAAAAAAACAATCATTTAGGATTTTACTAAAAGAAGGAAATCAGCTGTTGATTTATATATATATATATAGATCCCAGGGGACATTTTTTGTATTTGGGAGCTATTTAAATGTGTAATTTGTGGTTGATTTTATTTAGTTCAGCTATTGATATTGTAAGTTACTGTTGTTGTTCACAAACTAAAGAAATGAGAGATCATTTTTGTTTGGCTTTATTAATTATTTGAAGGCAAACTGTAAAACTGTATCACTTATTTTGTTACAATTCTATTTTCTTAAATTAATAGTGTGTATATATATATATATATATATATATATATAAACTATTCGTTAAATTGTCAAGAATATCAGAATATCGTTACTGCAAAAATACCCTGAAATATCATAATTTTATTTTAGGGCCATAGCGCCCAGCCCTAACTTGTGCTAAATGTGTTGTGATGTTTATCCCACCCTCCTTCTCTGTAATAGTACAGCTGGATAAAAAGTGACAGTGATGCTCAGCAGTATACCCAAAGATGAACATTTATCAACTCTTAGCAACCAGAATAAAACACTAAACATGTAGCGCTTAGCACAGATGCTCAGTGCTTCTGCAAACTATTGGCATTTGTATTTCAGTGTAGATATGCAGTGCTCATATCGTAAAGAATTAAAAATAACCTTTGATGGATACACAAACTACTGGGTCGAGTGCTGTTGGTGCCACGTGGCCAATTTCGTTAATCTAGAGATAACGTAGATTTTTTTTCTCCCCAATTAAGCAATCGATTGTCAACCAAGATTTTATTTTAACTTAAGCCCTAGCTATATTTCTTATATAGGTATTTCTGGATGGATATTAAATTTGTACTAATGTGATTTTGGTTTTAAAGGTTTTTCTCTCTAATTTTAAAACCTAACTTGAACTTACTGGTTGAACCAGCCTCATAAGTCATGTTTGTACAGAATAAATCAGCAGTTCTCGTCTGAATATCTCCCCTCAAGCAAGGCCTTCAACTCCCACCACTTAACCAAGCCTCCAGTTGTGCTTGGCAGCTCCCTGGTGCAAATTTGCGTTAAGTGCGTGACTTCTGAATTTTTGCTAGAAAGGTACAAGTGTGCTCAGGCAGAGTTTTCCTGCATAAATAGTCCAGAATAGTAAGAAAAAAATATAATTGGGCCCATATGGATCCCATCATCACCCAGTGAAACAGTGAATGGGTCACTGGTCCAGGCGGGGTAGTATTTCTGGTGCAGAGGCAGAGCGAGGCGCTCTGCGTGGTGTATGCCCCGTGCAGAAAAATGCTTGAGTGACTTCTGGCACCAGACGGCGTTTGGCTGGAGGGAAGTCTTGGCAGCAGAGCCAGACAGGAGTATTTTCCTGCAGAGCATGTCAAGTGGAGGAGATCTTCACTGCTCCTCTTTTACACTTCTGCGTATCGATGTGAAATGTCAATGTGAGGGTCTCCTTTTTCATTTTTTTCCCCCGCTGGCTCATAGAGTAGAGAAGTAGACGCTGCCCTTTTGTTTGACACTTCCTAAGTCTCTTTGAGAGGTGTGTGGTTGTGTTTGTGTGTGTGTTGATGTTCTGTCTCCATCAGTCTTCCTCTGTCACATTAAGCTAGTTAGGGGTTGGGAGAGGGGATGCTAAGTGTTATTGATCTCTGGCCGGTTGAATGTTCAGTGAGCCTGATTGCCACATATTGATCTGCGTTACGTTACTTATTTAAGGAGACACATGGAAGCAGCTGACAGATATCAGAGCATCTAGCTGGACCTTCCTAATCCATTAGTATCGTCTGATCGATTCTCTGGTCCACCGCTCTGCAGCCGGACGCCCCTCCTCCTGGACTCACTCCAGTCAATCTCGTAACCACAGAGCTCATATCATCACAGAGATTCATGTTGGGACTCCCTGAAAACTTCATGTGGAAGTTTTAGATGATGTTATTTTACAGCATGTAGCAGTTCAAGCTTTGGCAACCTTCTTGACCATCTCAGCCCCTGCTCTGAGTGCATGTTCATGAGTTTCTACTGTATATGATGAGTGTCTACTGTATATGATGACTTCCATGCACCTTTGTAAGAATATACAACAAAAATCCTGAATTATTTTGGTTTGATGAAAATTAAAAGTTTGACTAAAGGTTGAAAAATGAGGCAAACTAGACTGAATAATACACACATAGCTACAATATGAGATCACTTTATTTGATGCATGTCAAGTATAAAGGTGCCCCCTCATCTGTGTTGATTCTTGTTGTTGGACATAATTAAGTCCATAAAAATGTCGATATACTTTTGCAGTATTTATTTTCAGTATAATGTTATGATGGTCAATTTTAGAAAGTAGCAGCAGTCAGGTTGTTTCAAGAAGTCTAGTTGCAGTTTCAGCTGTTCCAGAAATTCAAGGTCTAAGTTTATCTTCGTCAGTCAATGATCACAAAAAATGCATTAGGTTCTTCTTTAGGTTTAAACTTGGGGTTTAAGCAAAGATTAGGTTAATAAACCACTTCTTAGGTTACGATTTTAGTAGCTTATCCAAATAGTGCTGAGACTACTCGATGGGCGCTGATGAGGATGCGCATCAGGTACACAACACACTGCCCCCGAATGAAATACCAAGATTTTAGGGAGTCATGATTCATGTTGTTGCAGTGGCCCGAAAAAAATACAGGCATAACCCTTAAGTATTTATTCCCACACAAATGTACTGTCCTGCTAGTGCCTCCGCTCGTCCAAATGATCTCTATTAAAAAATCCATCTCGCACTGCGAGTCCCCAGATTAACTTTAGTTGCACAATAGAGACATTTCAAATCTTATAGCAATTTGAAACTTGTGAAAATGTGAAATTGTGGCCTTTTCAGGTTCAGATTTGTAAATTGGGAACAACTAAAGAAATGAAATATGTCTATCTGGATACTTCTGGCATGTTTGAATCTACACTTAGGCTGGTACTGAAACAATTAATGGGTAACCATTTTGATACTCAATTACTGGAGGAGGTATACTTTATTAATGCGGGTGGGAATTCATTTTTTCGCTCTGTTGGAGGCCTGGAATACACACACATGCACAAACAGGATCTATACATGCATTAAGCGAGGGGGCTGCCTTAGTCAGGGGCACCTCGGCAGCTGCCAGTCCACATTCCACACTTGGTCAGGATGGGGTCTTGGACCAATGACCCTCTGCTTCCCAACTTAATTCCTTATGGACTGAGCTCCTAGGAGTAAATCCAGAGAAAGAGATCAGATTTTAAGACTTTGAAGCTAACCGAAAGATTTATTTCCTCAGATGATGAAACAAACTACCTGAATGACATTCAGTGTGTGTTTGCGTGGTGTGTGTTGTTGTGTCAGTGAGGAGAGTCGAGGCCCATGTGACTCTGCTTCTATTATGCTGATTGAATTAAGAAGTCGGATCATAAAACAGAGGAGTAAAATTTTATGTTCTTGTCTTCTAATCACAGTGAATTATTAAA